GTGTAATTTTTTAGTTTTTTCTTTCAATTTTATCTGTTCATTTAAATAAATAAAGTACTGAATAAAATAAAATCATTTAATATATTAAAAAGTTATACATTTTTTTTCTGCTGTATCATTAGACACGCATATCTTTTGCTTGGACTAAACAGAAATTAATAATAAATCAAATGTCTTTCTAATATTTAATTCAGCTATAACTATTCAATCTTTTCATTTAAAAAATAAAAAGCTTTTGATTAAGACAAAATTACTAGTTACTGAGAATTGTAGGAAATGATTTGAAGACTACTAACGTCTAAAAATCAAATGAAAGAATTAAAGAAATGGTAAACGAAACAAAAGTTTATCCCTGTGGCTAATGAAGTATAGCACTGAGTTTGACATTTCTCATAATTGATGGCGTTGTTGGTGGGTTTACTGCGTCTAACATTGAAGGCGAAGGATTTGAAATTTGGAAGTTAGCCAAGTCTGAGAGCTGAAAGAGTCTGCCATCACACCAAGGCCAAGTCTAATCTTTTACTTTTCATAAATATTTTCGTCATAAATTGGTCAATGGTTTCTCTCTCTATATATACACGCCCACCCTACTTTCATTTCTCATTCTCATCTCCAATATTCCAATCCCCAGTTCAATCTCCTCATCACAAAACATACCGAAAGTGTAGAGACACCCCCAGACAATAACATGGCTTCTTTACAAACCACATCTTTACTCTCTTCATCCTCTTCTTCTCTGACAAAACTCAACGCTTCTATCCATCTTCCTAGCCCTCCACGAGTGAATTTTTCGGTTCCAACAGTACCATCAAGAAAGCTGCAGATTCATGAGCTTAATGGATCCATCGACACAATCCCATCAGAGAAGAATGCCATCACAACGCAGATATATGAAGATCTATACAGCCCCAGCAACAAATCTAAAAGGGTCACTATTCAACTCCACGCAATTCTAGAGGAAGTCGCTGACAGAATTGAAATGCACAGAAACATTGGCGAACAAAGAAACAACTGGAATACCCTTCTTCTTAACTCCGTCAACATGATCACTCTCACTGCCACAGCCATGTCTGGTGTTGCTGCAGCCACCACTGGTGACACTGGGGCACCGCTTTTGGCCTTGAAACTATCATCCACTCTCTTGTTTTCTGCGGCCACTGGAATGTCACTTATCATGAGCAAAATTCAGCCCTCGCAACTCGCTGAGGAGCAACGCAATGCTACAAGGTTGTTTAAACAGCTTCATACCCATATCCAAACCAGAATCGCTCTTGGAAATGCCACAGAGGAAGATGTGAAGGGTTCAATGGAGAAAGTGTTGGCACTCGACAGAGCTTACCCACTTCCCTTGCTGGGAGCCATGCTTGAAAAATTTCCCGCAAAATATGAACCTGCAGTGTGGTGGCCTTCATCTCAGTTCCAAAGAAGAAGTAAAACACAAGAGAGAAAAAGAACTAATAATGGATGGAGCGAAGATCTTGAAATGGAATTGAGGGAAGTGATTGAAGTGATAAAGAAGAAAGACTCTGAAGAATATGAGAGACTAGGAAACATAATGTTGAAGGTAAACAAGAGTTTGGCGATTGCAGGGCCTTTGCTTAGTGGCATTGCAGCAGTGGGGTCTTCATTTGTAGGGAATGGGTCGTGGGCAGCATTAGTACCTCTCATTGCTGGCTCGTTGGCTTCGGCCGTTAATGCTTTTGAGCATGGTGGCCAAGTCGGCATGGTCTTTGAAATGTACAGAAACTGTGGGGGATTCTTCACGCTTTTGGAAGAGACGATCAAGGGCACACTTGAAGAGAAAGACGTTGAGAAAAGAGAAAACGGAGAGGTATTTGAAATGAAGGTGGCAATGAAGTTGGGAAGAACCGTTTCGGAGCTGAGACACCTTGCCTCAAAATCTGCTTCTTGTCGTGTGGAAGAGATTGCCATAGATGAATTCGCCAGCAAACTCATTTAATCAGGATAATACATATAACATCACCAACCACGCAAGATTCTTTCATTCTTTTGTTATTTTTATAGTTCTTTGACATAACTTTACACCGTTTTCATGGAGAATATATATGTACATATATTTGTACGTACCATCATGTAATTGACACTCAAAATCAATGTTAATTAACTTCTCACATTTCTTTTCGTCTTATAATCCGAAAATTTTTACGGAGATGGCAGATATGTCTTTATGCATGTGTGGAAGGAATTCAGTTCCAAACTATACATAGAACACATATATGCATTATAGCACGAAGAGTATACAAAACAATATAAACCACCAATGCCACACCAGACTTGAATGGTCTGAATCAGATTTCATCAAGTTTTTTAATTAACATAAAATGAATTATATATAAAACTGTATGACGCATTAGATGAAAATTGAACAGCCCCATGTGGATGTTATTGTCACATACAATAACTCTCTCATGGCCATGAACTGTAATTTGTACAATATTTTGCATTTCATAAGCGTATGGCTATAGAAAAATTGACACTGAATCTTTAATTAATTATAATGTTTCAAATTGTAATATATTATTGTGCCTTCGTTTTGTTACCATTCTGGACTTATTTTTATGCAGTGCCTCATCAGACGCAGCCTCGTTCAAGTTATTTTCTAAGGAAAATCCAATTTCAGAATGAGCTGAGTGAGCATTTTACATAATTCAGATGTCCAAGGACACTTAAAAAACCATAACATGGAAAGTGGAAGTGGAATAATATTATATATTATTACATTTTTAATATCTCTCTTCTATATTTTTTATCTCTGGCAGATAACAAGGTACGAAGTACACTGATAAGATTTTGAGTTTGAGTTGCAACTTTAAAACAATTGAAAGTAACTTATTTAAAAAAAAAACGACTCACCTATAAAAGTACTCGACACTCAAATAAATTTTTAAACAAAAAATAATATATTTAAAAATATGTAATAAGATAATATTCACTTCTTAATTGAGTATCTTCGTATAAGATTTATAAGATAATAAAAATTAAATACATAAAATAACGTTATCTAAATAATGTAAAAATGAATATAAAGATACATTACATGAAACAATGAGAATTCTAAACAGTGTAGTTAGAAAGAGTTTGTCGGATTATATTTTGGATGCTATTTTACATTAAAAAAAAGAAGAGTGATGATATTTTGACAACTAAAAATCATCTAACCTTTCAAATAATTCACTTTTATTAATATAATAATCTATAATGATTTAATAAAAGAAAAATGATACTTTTGACAACCCAAATTCATACAACTTCTGTAAATAATTCTCTTTTAATATTATAATAATAGTTTTACTTTATTTTTATTTTTATTCAATCATTCTATAGATTATATTATATTAATAAAAATGAGTTGTTTGAAGGGTTATATAATTTCTAGTTGTCAAAATATCACCATTTTTAATAAAAATAAAAATAAAGCAAAACTATTATTATAATATTAAAAGAGAGTTATTTATAGAAGTTGTATGGATTTGAGTTCTCAAATTATCATTTTCCACACAAAATTAAAAATAGAGGAAAAAAAAGCGCTAACAGACTTCATTTATGAATTTTCAGTGTTGAAGGTGTCTGTCCACCTACCACCACAATTTCAAAAGATTTGTGTTTTGTTTGAAAAATTAATGACCTTGGAGAGTCATGGCCATTATATTGTAAAATTGAACAAGTGAAAGCCAGTGGGTGAAATATAAAACAATAGTATAACTATGAAGAAAATTATAACAGTTGCTTTTGTGTATGATATAATTAACTAATTATTGTATTTCATTGTGAAAGGAAATATTGAAGTGCAGCCACTGGTTTTACTATGTCGCATGCTGAGCCCAACGGGGCATGCAAGTCGCTGGAAATCTTGAACAGACCAAGTCAATGAAATCAATTGGTCAGCCATGGATGTCCTTCTTTTCATAAATATCAATTGGTTAGCTAATATAAACCATCTTTTATTTCTGTCCTCATAAACAATCACAACGCAATCACCATATTCTACAAAAGTTATCCCCCAAATATATACTTTCATGGCTTCCATTCAAACCTCAACTCTATTTTCTTCTTCTTTCTCCTGCATGACTCCAATGAGAGTAAATGCCGCAATCCATCTTCCAAAGCTCCCAAGACTCAATGTTTCAATGCCAAAGATTCCCATCACTACCAGAAACCTGGTTGATGGGTTAACATTTGCCGACTCAGTCCCTTTACTTGGAAACAATGTCACCGGCACACAGTTAGGCGATGATCCATCCAATTCTACACCCTCCACGTCCACCATGCAACTCTATGCAATCTCAATCTGTAGCTGACAGATTTTAAAATGCACATAAACATTGGTCAGCAGCGTCACCACTACTATAAAATATACTTTCTACGTCGTCATTTAACGTCGGTTATAGAAAGTACTTTCCACGTCGGTTCCACATAAACCGACGTAGAAAGTATTTTCTACGTCGGTTACCGACATGGAAAGTCTTTTTTTTTTTTTACCAAAAATTCACTTAAATTTGAAAATTGTTACTTGCGGGATTCAAACTCGGGATTTTAGAATTGAAAACTACTACTCTAACCACTAAGCTATTATAATTTTCTAATGATAACTTACAAATAAATTATATTTATATACAAATATACAAATAAATATATATCCATGTAAATATATATTTATTTGCATATATTTTCTGGAAAGTATTTTTATTTTTTTTCAGCTAAAAATTCACTTAAGTTAATGAATTGTCACTGACAGACATTTGAACCCAAGTATTTTAGGGTTGAAAGTTAATATCCCAACCACTAAACTACTATAATTTTTTGATAATAACTTATAAATAAATTATATTGGTATTTTTCGATCGAGGTGAAAGTGTGATTGACTCTCGCTTGAGTGAAAATATGCTAAAGCTCACGGAAATTCACTCACTCAAGTCTTGCTTGAGCAAAAATTGGTATTTTTCGCTTGAGAACGAATAACGCGTTTCCCAAATTTATTTTATATCATTATATAAATAAAATTATAAAAATTATATTCTGTCATTAAATTACAAACTCATATAAAGATATATGCTCACAAATTTAGCATCAAATTTTGAAAACCCACTCGACACACACTTTCACTTTCGAGTGTGCCCTCACATCCAACATATAAATATATAATATATAAATATATCAAAATATATAAATATATTTGTATTTATATATTTATATATTTACACGGATATATATTTATTTGTATATAAATATAATTTATTTGTAAGTTATTATCGAGAAAATTCTAGTAGTTTAGTGGTTGGAGTATCGGCCTCCAACTCTAAAGTACTAGGTTCAATCCGTCAATGACAATTCTCTTAAAAATTAATAAACTTCTAAAAATATAATATAAAGAGAAGACTTCAAATAAATAAAGGTTATAAATAAATAAAAATTATTAATTTAAAAATCATACTTTCAAACGCCGATACAACGTTTAGAAATATAATATAAAGAGAGGAAGACTTCTAAATAAATAAAGGGTAAAGGGGTTATAAATAAATAAAAATTATTAATTTAAAAAATCATACTTTCAACACGTCGCCGATACAACGTCGGTTCAACAACCGACGTTGAAAGCTTTATTTGTAGTAGTGATAATTGGAACACTCTCCTCTTGAACAGCATCAACATGATCACTCTCACTACTACCACATTGGTTGGTGTTGCAGCCACAAGTGGTGAAGGAGGACCCAATTTGGCTCTTAAAATATCATCCACTCTCTTGTTTTCTGCGGCCACTGGGATGTCACTTTTGCTTAGCAAGATCCAGCCCTCACACCTCGCTGAGTAGCAACGTAATGCTACAAGATTGTTTAAGCAGCTTCAGATGCAAATCCTACTTCTTTTTCCCTTTGTTTTGATTGGGTGTGCATCCAAATCCAAATCCAAATCCGATATTGGAATCAAAAAGTTATTGTTTTTTTAATATTTTTAATTTTCTTTTCGTATCCATAAAACCCTAAATCTTTATATATATATATATATATATATATATATATATATATATATATATATATATTTATTTATTGTAATATCTTCTTTCTACGTGGTACCATATTATAATTTAAATTAAAAAAAATTATAAAATTCAAATAATTAAATTAGGAAAACGTAAAAATAGGTATGAATTGTAAATTCACTCAAATAAATAGATAATCATAAATTATACTAATTATTTAATTTCAACAATAATTTAATAGAAACATTTAATTTAATAAACGTGATTGAGATTTTTAAAACCAATCAGGAATTCAAAGATACATACACTAGTACAAAAAATCCTTTTAACATCGGACTTTCTACATCGGTTGTTAAAGAACCGATGTAGAAATTTTTTTAAAGACTTTCCACATCGGTTCAGATGGGAACCGATGTAGAAAGTACTTTCTACATCGGTTCCCCCATGAACCGATGTGGAAAGTACTTTCTACTCTGATTTAAAATAATTCTGATCGGTCATAAACCCATTCTGATCGATCATATCCTGTTCTGATCGGTCATAAAGTCATTCTGATCGGTCATCTGATATATCATTTTACTTTCTACATCGGTTCCCCCATGAACCGATGTGGAAAGTACTTTCTACTCGATTTAAAATAATTCTGATCGGTCATAAACTCATTCTGATCGATCATATCCAGCTTCGATCGGTCATCTCGATATACCATTTTACTTTCTACATCGGCTCCCCCATGAACCGATGTGGAAAGTCTTTTTATTTAAAAAAATAATAATAAAAATTTTAGACTCGACTCCTAGGCCCTTACAGACTCGACTCCTAGGCCCTACGACTCGACTCCTGCACCCAATTACGCACTCGACTCCTCCGGAATTCTTCCCTTGCTCCTAGCCATTACCAAATTCATTCTCGTGCACCTTCACCGCACCAAAACTTTCTTCGCCTACTCCTTGCCCCCATCGCAGTAGCGAAAACCACCGTCTCTCTCATCTCCTTCCCCAATCGAATCCCTAACCTCCGTTTCCCCAATCGAATCCCCAAGCGAAAACCACCCTTGTCGTGCACCAAGAACTGCAACGCGCACCAGGAACTGCGACGCGCCACCCTCGTCTTCACCTCTCTGAAACCCTCTAGGAGCTCCTCCTCATTGCACCTGCGCACCTTCGATCTCGTCGCGAACCAGAGGTGATTCGGACCAGGGTCGTGGGTCTATCCTATTGGCTTCTGCATCCTTGTTTTGTCAATTACCTTTATGCATTTTCCTTGATTCTGGATTGTTTTGTTTGGTCGTGGACTGATTCTTCCTGGGTTTAATGTATGTAGACATGTTTATTTTGGGTTTTGTATTATTATTTCCGTTTAGTTTGACTTGAATATGTGATTTTGACTTGGTTATTCTCGTGGGGTTGAGATTGGTGTTATCCAAGCCCTGTTGGGTTGGTTGATGTCGCTCTGGTCCGAGTCTCTTAGCGGAAGAGTTAAGGCTATGGGTTTCCACGCTGGGGTGTAGGGCTTTGGGGTATTGATTATATTTGGTTCTCTTGTTTTTCATTTGGGTTTGTTTCTTATGTTGTTGATTTAGGTTTGTTCTTTGTGTTGTTTGTTTTGTTCCTGGAGTTTTACTGTTGTTCCAGTACTATTTGAGTTTGGATTAGAGTTTGAGTTGTTTAAGTTTGTTACCTCTGAATAGAGGTAATTCCATTTTCACACTAAGCAAAGACGTCATGTACCTATAGATATGGATCGGAGTTGGATAAATGCCAAACGTATAGAAGAAGAATATGAATTAGGGGTTGAAGAGTTCTTAGAGTTTGCACAGAGAAATGTGGGTAACAATAGATGTCTCTTTTATTGTCCTTGTGTGAAATGCTTAAATTTAAGACAACTAAGTGTGAAGGATATAAGAGAGCATGTCCTTTGTGATGGATTTTGCAAGAGTTACACTAAGTGGATTTGGCATGGGGAAGTAGTAGATTTCCCAATGGCTTCGCAGAAAACCGAAATCCGTAAAGAAACCAATGATCGACTAGAAGATTTGATACGTGATATCGGTGAAGAGCCATTTGAAAAAGGATATGTATTCGAAGAACTATGCGAAGATAGTAAGAAGCCTCTCGTATATAGAATGTTCTAAGTTCACACTGGTTGTCGCAGTGTTAAAATTATTTAACTTAAAGGCCAAAAATGGGTGGACTGGATAAAAGTTTTACAGAGTTGCTACAATTATTAATGGAAATGCTTCCGTAAGGGAATACACTTCCAAGCCGTACTTATGAAGCAAAGAAAGTAATCTGTCCGATGGGTATGGAGTATAAGAAGATACATGCATGCCGTAATGATTGCATCCCGTACAGGAAGGAGTTTGGAAGTTTGCATAATTGTCCTGTTTGTGGTACATCACGGTTTAAAGTTAAGGATGGAGAAGATAATTTTGATAAGACAATTTCATCAGGAACCCCTGTCAAAGTAGTGTGGTATCTTCCAATAATTCCAAGGTTTAAGCGGCTATTTGCTAATGCCAAAGATGCAAAGAGCTTAACGTGGCATGTAGATGAAAGACACTCGTGATGGGAAGATACGACATCCAGCTGATTCTCTCGCAATGGAAAAAAATTGATGACATATTTCCGAATTTGGTCAAGAGGGGAGAAACCTTAGACTAGCACTTGCTATAGATGGGATGAATCCTTATGGCAATTTAAGTAGTATACATAGTTCATGACCTGTTTTGTTAGTAATTTACAACTTGTCTCCTCGATTGTGCATGAAACGCAAGTTTGTAATGTTGTTGATGATGATTTCTGGCCCCAAACAACCAGGAAATGACATTGATGTTTATTTACGACCTTTGATTGAAGACTTAAAACTTCTTTGGGAAGAGGGTGTTGAGATATTTGATGCATATCGTAATGAATACTTTAAATTGAAAGCTTTGCTCTTTTGTACGATAAATGACTTCCCTGCTTATGGAAATCTAAGTGGATACAGTGTCAAAGGACATAATGCATGCCCTATTTGTATGGAAGAAACATGTTATCATCAACTGAAACATGGGAAGAAGACAGTGTACCTAGGACATAGAAGATTTCTACCAGTTAATCATCCATATCGGAGGTTGAAGAAGGCTTATAATGGCTTTCAAGAGAGTCAAATCGCTCCTAACCCTAAAACAGGAGAGGAAGTGTATTCGAAGGTGAAAGACATTCATTGTTTGTTTGGAAAGACCCAAACAGTTTCCCATGAAAAGGAAAAATGGAAGAAAAAATCCATAGTTTTTTAGCTTCCTTATTGGTCTAGTCTAGATGTAAGGCACAATATTGATGTTATGCATGTAGAAAATAATGTGTATGACAGTCTTATTGGAACCCTCCTGAATATTCAAGGAAAGACCAAAGATGGCTTGAACTCTCGCTTAGATATGCTTCATATGAACATAAGACAAGAATTAGGTCCCCAATCACGTGGTAAGCTGGACTTATTTGCCTCCAGCCTTGTTATACTTTGTCTAAGAAGGAGAAAAAAAGCCTCCGTGAATGTCTTAAAGGTATCAAAGTGCCTCAGGGTTTTTGCTCGAATATTAAACGGTTAGTGTCAATGAAAGATTTGAAGTTAGTTGGATTAAAGTCCCATGACTGTCATGTATTAATGCAACATTTTTTACCAGTTGCTATTCGGGACATTTTGCCAAAGAAGGTTAGACATGTTATAACGCATCTGTGTTTTTTCTTTAATGCTGTTTGTAATAAAGTACTCGACCTTGAGACTTTGGATAACCTAGAAGTTGAAGTCGTGTTGATATTATGCAAATTGGAGATGTTTTTCCCGCCTTCATTTTTTGACATAATGGTGCATTTAATTGTTCATATTGTTAGAGAGATTAAGTTATGTGGCCCTGTGTATCTAAGGTGGATGTATCTAATTGAGCGTTATATGAAAATCTTGAAAGGATATGTTAAAAACCCATCAAGGCCTGAAGCATCCATTGTTGAAAGATACATTGCAGAAGAAGCAATTGAGTTCTGTACAGATCATCTTTCTGAAGTAAGTCCTATAGGGATTCCAACGTTTTGTCATGATGGAAGACAAATTGGGAAGGGAACCCGAGGTGTTAATGGTAGAAACATGAGTCGAGAAGAAGTTTTACAAGCACATTTGTACATCTTGAATAACATCGATGAAGTTCAACCTTTCTTATCTACTCACAAAGAAATGATCAAGCAAAGATATCCAAGGATGAATGAAAAATGGTTGTTGAATGAACACAATAAAAATTTCTTGAAGTGGTTTGAAGAACAGATCGTTACAGCTGATGCTGCATCTGAAACTTTGAAATGGTTAGCTCATGGCCCAAACTTTGATGTCATAACATGGAGTGGATATGATGTAAACGGTTATTCCTTTTATACTAAGCTTCAAGATGACAAGAGTACAATGCAAAACAAGTGGTGTGATGATAGTTGTTGAATCAATGCACTTTGCTACTTCAAAAGATAATTCTCCCGTAATGGCATCCCTTTCTTATTATGGAGTAATTCAAGATATTTAGGAGGTTGACTACACAAAATTTAGAATTGTTGTATTCAAGTGCAATTGGGTTGACGAGTAACAATGGTGTTTTGGTGGATGAATTAGGGTTTACATTGGTTAACCTGAACAAGCTTGGCTATAAAGGCGAACCTTTTATTATGGCAACTCAAGCAAAACAAGTCTTTTATATCTCCGATCCAGTTAATAGTTGGTCAATAATGCTTCAAGGGAAACCCATGTCTGGTAGTGATGACCTTGAAGATTTACAACTTCAACAGTTTACTAGTCCATCTTCAGCATCACAC